CCTCTGAAAAGGAGGGGCTTATTAGAGAGGGGTGCTAATTAGAGGGGGTGGCTTATTAAAGAGGGGAGTGACTTATTAAAGGGGGGTGGCTTATTAAAGAGGGGGGCTTATTAGAGGGGGGTGGCTTATTAAAGAAGGGGGCTTGTTAGAGGGGGTGGCTTATTAAAGAGGGAGGCTTATTAGAGGGGGGTGGCTTATTAGAGGGGGGTGGCTTATTAAAGAGGGGTCTTACCAGAGGATTTACAGTATTTTGTCTTTCATTACATAAAAATATATGATCATTCAGTAAATAGTGATAGTTGTTATTACCCAAGACTTTTGGTTGAAGTGTGACCATCTCAGTATCATAAATCTTCATTACTTCTGTTCTCTCATTGTAAATACCAAGAACATACCTACAGCATATTTTAAAATTAATAAGTTTTGTCAGCAATTTCCATCAGCTCAAAACATAATGTCTTATTAAAGGCATAATGAACAATTGTTTTGGAAATGTTTGGACAATGTTTGACTTTCTTTTTTACAGAATACTATTTTAGCAGCTCTATCAGTGACAATTCTTTCCTTCATAAAATGGAAGATAATTTTTATTTTGTGAAGATGGATTCTGACTATACACATGCATTATGGACCAAGCGTGAAGTCAAGATGTCTGGATATTGGCCGAGTTCTTTTTTTTCGCTTTTTTTAAGGATCAAGATAAAGGCAAGGTCCATAAAAACACCAAAAAAAGAATGAGAATAATGTACAGCGATCTTTACCAAGTAAGCTTGGTCAATAAAGAATTTATTATATAGCAAAGAAATTTCACTTTAATAAGAATCAAGAATGACTTATTTGTTTCAAGAGCCAGGAAACAAAGCCAACTGTGTTTGTAGCACCATAAACCTGAGAGGGATTAATCCCGAGTGGGCAAGATGGGTCCATCTTACCCACTTGGGTAGCCAATCAGAAAACAGGATTTGCTTCATCTTACCTCCGGGGGCTGCCAGCTATCACATCTAACAGACCCCTTCAAAGCATCCACAACTAGCCAATCATAATACAGCTGTTCTGATCTGTAGAATAACTTTTACTCACTTGCAAAGACTATTTGATCTTGAAAACTGCCCAAAGTTGTGACCAATGTATTCCATACCATTTGTTTCTGCAATCTAAGAGCCGACCACAATTCAACACAAGAGCAGTATGAGAATGAATATTTTTCTCCCTGCCTGTGATGTATGTTACTCAGAGATACTGACAGTAACCCCCAATACCAGATTTCTGCTTCAAGGACCCCTTTATATTGCTTTTGGATTTTTTTTTTAAGGTCCAGCATGCTAAATGAACCCTTTACATCTAAAATATCAGTATGCACATTCTCTAAACTGTTCTTAAACATTCCTAAGATGCTAACAAGGAGAATTTGTTTGACAATCAAGAGCTTCTTTTTCATTTCCTTCATTCTTGTGAAGTTAATGTTTGATTCAGGGGTGATAATGTAAAGACAAATTAAATGCTGGTCACTCGTGGGGTCAAAGGGTAAAGGTCAATTCAATCCTCTTTCAAGAAATGTGTCCAACAATGTAAGAACAAAAAGAGCTTTGGGCTGGAGGCTAAGAAATTGGGGTGGTATCCTTTCAAAGAAAATTTAACCCAGAGAATGCCTTTTACATTTATATAAATACCAAATATTTTCTCATATTTTGATGGCATACCAAAGTTTTCCTCCGTTTTTTTCTTTTATCTCCTCTATCTGCCCACTGATAACAACCGAACCGTATCCTTTTACTCCCACTGCTTTGCTTTAAGTTTCCATTGGTGAAATTGACTGAAGGAAGAAAACATTGCAGTTCTGTACATTCTACATGGCTGCACTTGTAAGAACATACAGATTCATTGTATCATCGAAAATATAAAAAACTGAACAAATCCTTGAAATATCAACATAATACTGTTTAAGCTCAAAAAGGTCGAATATCGAGTATTAAACTTTAAGTTTATCAAGGCGCTTTGAGCCACAAGACACAACCATGATTGCCACATAAACGGCGTCACCGTTACACCTAACTAGTATCGTTCATAATATTGTGGGAATTTACGACCTAAACAATGTTAAAATAAAGTAGTCTTGGGAAAAATGTACCAACAAGGGGCTGCACATTCGAAGAAGCATCGACTGCTTCGTATTCCAACCTTGCAGCCGCCATCTTTGATTCTATCTCACGTGGGGCTTCATGTAAGAGAAGTTGTTGTTTGTTGTTTGTTTCATCAGCCAATCAGATTCTACTTTTCGTGCTATTGTTCGCGGCAAATTTCCAAGCCGCACAAGTTGTGTACGATCTGCGGTCTTTGTGTTTATCATCCGGGTGAATCTACAATGCATAGGTTTTTCCCTTGATGGTTCCAGATAAATTATTAATCATCTGGTTACAGACACCTCAGTATTGTACATTAATTTTTCGTAAATTCTGAGATCGGACTCGAAAAATGGTGAGATTTAACGAAATATGTCTATAGAGATCGCCGGCACGTCATTCGAAGAAAGCTTCGAAGAATTGAAAAATCGCCTTCAGGTAAATTTATCAGTTGAGATCCCGCCAAATGTATTTCACATTTATTTTAGTTTTAGAATCAGGCATTAATTTCCGTCGCGTTTTCTCCTACGTGACTGTTATAGAATACAATTTGACTTGTGAAAAATCCGCGAGTATATTAATTTTAACAAAATGTATTACCTTGTCAAATTTTTTTGAAGATTTCTTCGAAAGCTTAGAAACGAAATCGAGATGTCACATTAAGTATTGTTTAGTTTATTATACATTACGACTTATTTTTTAAATACAATTTTTTTAATTTCAGCCACTCTTTGATGCAGAACCACTCAAGGTATGTAATTTTTTAGGGGGGTTGAAAATAATCAGCTCGTATTTTCAAATTGCAGTTTTTTTTTAATCAGCTTAAGAGTCGCTTAATGTTTGGTGCAGAGTTCTGTTGCGCCTTTTCTCGTGCGGAGGCTAGACATAGTTTCCTTTTGTCATTAAAAAAATTTGCATATGTCAAGCTAGGGAGGCTTTGTATTTAGCTGTGAAAATTTAATTTCTCTGAATTTTGAAAATTAGGTATAGAGCATGGGTTTACTGGTAAATTAAAATGTAGTATATTTGCGAAAGCAAACATACGGAAGTTGTAGATTAAGTCAAAAGTAATTTGTTCCATCTTTAATATCTGTTTTTTCGGGCTTCTCTACAAACGCCCCTCTTTCTTTCATTTTTTCGTGTCTTCGAAGTTGGTTTTTCAGCGTTTATGTACCAATTTAGTTTTGGTACCATTAGCAGCTTTTTGATCAAAATTGCAGAGAAATTCCTGTTGATTATTTCCCTAAAATAAAATGAAGACAATTGTGAAATAGCAATTAAAAAGTAAAAATAAAAAAGTAATGCAGCCACTTTTTTCCTGATACTGACGACATGTAGAAACTGTTAAAAATGGCATACTTCTTATGCAACTCTACTCACATTTTGAGACACTAAATGTGTTGTGTGCCAGAATGCTTTCCAGTATTACATCATTTCTAATTATAGGTGAGAATTGACTCATCTCATAATTCATGCTACTGGTTTATATGAAGATGACTGTTGAACAGTTTTAGCAATTTGGTCGAATAAATGAATGAATAATAGGTGGATTGATTTATTTGCCTGCAAATAAGTTTGCCCAGTATAGCCTTATTAACCTTGTGCATACCAGGGTTTGTCATTTGAAGCTGGTATTTATGAACTGATTCAATTATCAATTTCTGGTGCATAGAAGTTTCTCAAATATGTTCTAGACTACTAAAAATCACATCTCAGAGAGTTTCAAATTTTAAATTTTTTCCTGGGAAGCTGCTTCAGAACCTCCCCTAGAAGGGGGGGGAGGGAGTGTTACTTTAATTTATCCACCTACTCAGTTGAGATCATGCATCTACTCTATTTTCCAACGATAACATTGTTACACCGTGAGCACTTTATTTTTTATTATGCGATTTCTAATTCAGGTTCAGACAGATTCTTGCTTGAGACGATTTCTGCGAGGATTTGACGATGTGGATGAAGCGTATACCGCCTTGATAAAGTACATAAACTGGAGAGAAGAATATGGTGTAAACTGTTTAAGCAGAGGAGATGATGATATTGAAGAACAAATTGCTTTGAATAAGGCTGAAGTGTTAGAATCTCCAGATCATAGAGGAAGGTGAATTATGATACTTACTGTTGTCACCAGTTGATTATTTATTTAAGGTTAGTTTTACTTAGTTCTTATTAACCAAGCAGGAGGTCTGTATAGGAGAATCTTGACCGAGGTCGCCAGTACAGACTGAACACAGTGAGGTCTGTACCAGCGACCAAGGTCAAGATTCTCCCATACAGACCGACCTAGCTCCGTTAATAAGATGTTTATTATATGGCTGTGTCTTGTATGCCAATTTTTTATATTCTTTGTACCTTTTTTTTCTAGACCGGTCTACATGCCGGTCTAGATGGGAAATTCTAGATCGCTTTCAATATTGATTTGAGCCAATCAAATTCGTTAATTAGGTAGTTCCCAGTCCTTGTGAGACACAGCCATATAATAATAATAAGGGTTATTTATGTGCTGGTATTAACCCTTGAACTCCCACAAGTGACCAAGACATAATTTCTCCTCATACAATATCAAGCAGAATAAAGAAAAATATCATTTAGGAGAGTATTAGTTGATCCAATACCAAATTCTCCATACTTGTATGCTAGACGGTAAGGAGGATTTACTAATGAGATCTTGGGAAAGAAAAGGGTCTGTCGTTCATTTCCTGGAATAGACATTATCCCTTCAAAAAAGCCTCCTTCCATTTCCTGTCTTCTTTTTCCCTGACACCCAGTCCCTCCCCCTATCCCATGCCAAAGAGCCCCCCTCACCCCTCCCACCCTATAGACTTGCAAATGGTAAATTGTAACACACTCTAACATTTGATCAGCTTTTGCTACCTCAGTTTACAAACAGCTGTGCAGTTGAAAGTGTTTGACCCTTGACACCCTAATATCAGTAATCGTATTCTCAACACTGTTTTCTAGACAATTCCTATGGAATGACAAGAAGAATTTGGTTAACAATCAGGGGCTTCTAAAATTTGTGATTATTTCATATAATCTCATGACCTTTGTGTTTGATTAAAGGGTGATATTGTAAGGAGAAATTAGAAGCCACTCACACTCAGGGGTTAAGAAAAAGGGTTCAGCACTGTTTGATAATTACATTTGGTGGATATATATATCTTATTAACTAAGCGTGAGGGCCGTACTGAGAGAATATCGGCCCGTGGTCTTGACAGTACGGACCAAGCGCAGCAAGGTCCGTACAAGAAAGACCGAGGGCCGATATTCTTCCAGTACGGTCCCGAGCAAGCTTGGTTAATAAGAGATTTATTATACGACTGAAGTTCAAAGGGACACAAGTGCGGTATCATTCGGGACCATTCAGCACAGTCCCCGGTCCAATACTGAGAGAATATTAACCGGCAATAGAGCATTTTGATTGGTTGATTTTAGTTATTGGCCCTCTGACTGCCTGAGTCGTGTAATTAATTTTGATATCTGTAGGCCTATCATTCTTGTGACAGTAAGGAATCATGATGCAAGAACCAGAGATCTAAATGTCATCACGAAGTTCATCATTTACATTTTGGTAGGTGATCCTAGTTATTACAGCTGGCTAAAACTTGCAAACAAAAATGGTCTTGGTTGTTCATTAAAACCGCCTCCTGGTTAGCTCAATGGATAGCGCACTGGACTGTTGTGTGGGAGGTCAAGGGTTCGAGCCCCGGCCGGACCAACACCCAAGGTCTTAAAATAATTGAGAAGAATATGCTACCTTTCTATAACATCAAGAAATGGTTAGATATTCTAGTCTTCTTGGATAGGAACGAATAAATGGAGGTCCCGTCTCCTGCAGGGTTGGGGTAGATTGGTTTAATAGGGGTAGGAGTCGTTATTTCCCACACACGAGATTACTGTGTGATGGATGTCCTCCCCTGGGGTGGGTTGGGTGGGAGTATTTAGCATGTGCACATTCTTACAAGCCTTGTTGTAAGCTCTTTTGTATTCAATGTGGATAAATATACTTACTATACACTACTATACTATACTATATTGTAAATAAAACAGGGTAATCAATACAATTCTAACCTTTTACACCATGACATCAGTGTGCATATTCTCCATACTGTTCACCGTACATTTCCTAAAGTGCTGACAAGGAGAATTTGTTTAACAATCACAAGCTTCTTTAATTGGTGATCATTTTTGTTATTCTTGTGACTATGACGTTTGATTCAGGGTAGGTATTGTAATGAGAAAATTGATGCTAGTCACTTTTAGGGTTTGATATGTGTGACAGTGCAAGTCAAAAGCATTAGGTACAGAGCACCTTAGTAAATTATTCCCTGTTGTTAATAGGAGGAAGCAACAAGAAGATGCGATGAAGATGTAATTGACAACCTATGCATCACTTTTGATTTAAAGGTAAGTTGATTGTGTTATCCTTAAAAAAAAAAACAGCTAGTAGTTGACAGAATTAACTGGTTACTTAAAAAAAAATACATGAAGGTTGTCAGTGAGCCAGCTACTTTTTTTAAATAAAACTGAATTATTAGTTTGAATGAATTTATTATTGACTCTGTTTGATTTCATAATTCAAGAAGTGGGAATGCCAATTATGGTGATCTATATTAATTGTAGTTTGTCAAAGACCTGATATTTCAAGTAATATGTTAATGCTGCCTAACCAAAGCAATCATCAAAAAACACCTTCAGACTGAATTGTTGCAGTTTTTAGTGCACGAGGGGGTTTATGCTGATGTATATGTTGTAGTTCAATTTTGTATTTGGTTCAAATTTTATTTTTCTTTTATTCTTGGTCATGTTAATGTATGATAATGAGTTTGAAACAAAGGAAAATAAAATTTGAACCAAGGATAAAATTGAACTACAACATATATAATCTTGCTGATATATTATTCCTGAATTAGAAGCTAAATATTTTTATTATAGATTGTATCTGTTCGCCTTCTTTTCTCTATAGTGATTCTATTTAATTCCTTTCTTTTGTATTTATTGGCCTGTCCTCTCTTTATGTATTAATTTTCTAGCAGATATATTTTATGTTGTATAGATCTCAATAACTCTACACTAGCTAGATTAGCTAAGCTATTTGCAGTTAATTAACTCAAAATAAATTAAGAGTGAATTATAAGAACTGTTTGATCGGTAGGGTTTCACATTTAGCAACATGGACTATGGATTTGTAAAGCAGCTCATTTGGCTTTTGTCCAGGCGATATCCTGAAAGACTTGGAAAGTGTTTGATTGTAAATTCACCGTTTATTTTCACTGGATGTTGGGCTCTCATAAGACTGTGGTAAGCTTCAATAAAGTTAGAAGCAACTATAATACTTGAGGAGAGGGTTGTCTAGGGGGAGGGAGTAGGGTACTCCTGAATTAGTGGACTGAATGGAAATATAAACAAAAATCAATTACTTTTGAATGTGGATTAGAATTCCTTGCAAAATGAGGTCCAAATTTGAAGCTGAGGACAACCCCACAAAAACATCCCTGTGCATCTCCCAAGAAAAATCCAAAAAAATCGGCCAACAGTAAAAAGAAAAAAGAAGAAAACACAAACCAACACTGACTTTTATTAAAATACACATCAAGATATTATCATGTTATAAAGACAGTTGATTAGGGAGGAAGTCAGTGGTAATGTTGTAATTAACAGCTATCTCTAATACAAATTAACCCTTTCACTTGGAAGATCTAAATTTCAATTCTCTACACCATCTCCCATACACATCTTTATCATTTTGATTCTGAGAATTTGGTGTTAAATCAGATATTATATGTTCATTGATTGCCTCATTCTTCTCCACACCCTTTTGCCCTAAACTGTATCGCAATTGTAAGGGAAGGTTCTGTTTCACTGGTCACCCCTGAAAGTGCAAGGGTGAAGGAAGATTACAGTTTCTGAAATTTTCTCAGATCACCCTAGAAGATCCAAGATTAAAGAAACCTTGACAGGTGTCTGTTGTAGCCCTTTGACTGCTAAGGGTGACCAGCATCTAATTTCTCCCAACAGTAACACCCCTGAATCAATCATTAAGGTCATGAGAATATAGCAAATGATCACAACTCAAGAAGCTCTTGATTGTCAGACAAATTCTCCTTGTAAGTACCTCAGGAAATGTATAGAGAACAGTATAGAGAACTTGCATCCTGATGTTAGGGTATCAAGGGTTAAATATAATTCATTACTGATATTTGTTTTTCTGTTCAATTCATCAGGTTACATGAGGTGACATCTAACAAGATTGTTTTTATCAAGAATGAAGAACACCTCGCAGAATTCATACCTCTTCATGCTCTTCCAAAATCCCTTTTTTGAAATAGTTTGTCTGAATTTTTAGTTTTTTGTTCTCTCACTCTTTTGAGGTAGCAGTCTGCCTTATTACCTCTAAGATCTAATTTCTAGCCAACACATTGTTTTCATGTTTGTTATTAATGTCTTAAGATGCTATAAGTACAGCTTTTGTTATTTATGTTAAAGATAAATTTAGATATTTAAAGAAGTGTTACCCATGCATAAAATCAATTGTTAGCTAATGTTAAACTTGTGTAAGAATGGCTTGTAACTCATATCAGGAATTATTCTTCCTAAAAAGTGCAACAATTTTGATATATAATAGTAAACATCTTTCTGCTTTGCTAACGAGGTTAGAATTTTGATTTATGATCTTACCTTATTTGATGATTGAAATGGAAATTTGTGTAGTATTCCAAAATTTACACATACAATCCAAACACAACTACAACAGTCATTTCCACAATTACAATTGCAGTTATTTTGACATGTTCAGTTTATGTTAGCTGAAATATTCTAATTGTCTCATTCTACATGAGTAAGTTGTAATCACAAGCCTGCAATTAACTTCTTCCTTCTGCGAAGAACAAAGTGCTGTCAAATTAGGCAACATTTTAGTACATACTTGGCAAAACTGATGTAAGAAGTAATTTAGCTCTTCTTACAAAGTCAATTCAGAATTTTCACTTCTCTCAAAATTGGAACTAATATTGAGACATATTCTCAACTACTGGCACCAGAACTGTTGACTTTTTTTCTGTAATTTTAACTTTTTATGATTTTTCTTGAGTCTCTGGTTTTGGGTTACATTTAAAAAGATGTCAGTAAAGAAAGCTCTATACAAAAAGTGTCTAGAGTGAAATGATCATAGGATTCAGAAAGTGGGATGACCTTTCGTAGCTTGGCCACCGTGGAGCAGTGGGTGTTGTAATATTTAAGTGAAGGTATTACCACTGCTTCATACCCTACATCATTAAAAATTGTTTTTTTTAAAGAGACTGTTTGGCTGTACTGAGTTTGCCATAATAAGAAATGCAACAAAGGAATGCAGTGATGTAATTTTATTTTATTGCTACTATTTCATAACTGAGTACATTACACCTAATTAATTAATACCTTCAGAGGGTTTCAACATAGTAGCGAGAATGAAGAATGACACAAAATAAAATTTTCATCTGGTGCTGGAATACTTAATATTTGCTAATTTAATTCTATATTTTAGTCCTTTACCACCCATTATGATAGCTGAAGGTGCACCCGGAATAAAGCCTCTAGTAACCTTTGATGAAACATTGACTTCTCCCCTGTTCCACTGAGGAATGTGGGGTGAATGTAAGTCATTCTGGGCTTTTTCCCAGGTATGCCTTAAATTGTGACAATTTGAATGCCAAATTAAATTGCAATTTAATATTTTGTTCCCCATTTAAGGGTTAGAGATACCACTTGTAGCCAGTATGCTGTCCATTTAACACTCCATTTTGCAAGGAATGCTCTCTTAAAACTCAGTCTTTATACCTCCTCAAATTAAGATGCCACTGTAACATATGTCAAAAGTAAATTCATATCTTTCTTATTTGAGTCATACATTTAGCATCATATATTTGCATATGGAGTACGTTTGTAGATATTATGTTGTGATCGGATTATCCGTGTTTGATGTTGTTAATGATTTTTTTTTTTGGTGATGTGATCATTAGAATTAGTTCATAAAAATATTGTCATTTTGCAGTTTAATATATTAAGCCAGAGAGTAAGCTCACATCGGTGCTGCAGCACAACTGGTAAAGTTGCCAGAGAGCAGTAAGGTGGCAAAGCAAGGCGGAGAGGAGTCACAACTTCACCAATTGGACCACAGCATTTCAAATAAAACCTGCATGCAGGCTACAAAACATTGCATATAATAAAAACAGAAATAAAATAATTACCACATATTACTTTTAACCTTAAAGCATGCTCAACTTATTAAGTTACTTCTTTAGCATTAAATTACACTTCTTGTTGAGGCAAATTTATTTACAAACTGAAAAGTGAGTGTTTCTCTTCTTAATTTCTACTCCAGGATCACAGACCCAGGAACAAATTAATATTTGCAGAGGAGTCTACGATTTTATTTAACATAATTTAATACTTTTGATAATATATTGACTCCAACATATTTGATGGACAAAATAATGAGTTGTGTTCTGCGAAAATTAAGCTGGAGGCAAACCAACTAAAAATTCAAATCAAGTTTCTAAGTCATTTCAATGTAACAAAATAAAATTTTTTTTATAAATAATACACGAATTTTTCCAAAACATTACCATCTCTATAAACCACTAAAACAATCCCCAACTTTAAACACAATTATGTCTTGTGAAAAAATAAACTGCATCCCAAACACACAATATACTCAACCACTTGATAACATAAACTTTTTTGAATAGGAAAATTTTTACTCTATTTCACATTATTCACTAGTTCCATAAAGCGTTAACACCCATTTTGATACCGTGCCTGCATATCCTCCAGCTGAATCAGAGCCTTCATCCTCTTGCTGCAATAAACTATCTAGATCACCCTCATCTTCAGCCACTGGGAACACCTGATCACGCATGTAATCTTTTCCAAACCGGCCATGATGTATTTCATCATGATAGCTGTCATAATCATCCACGATTTCATCGCGTCGCGCTTTCAACAGGTCATGTTGTATTAGAACCTTCTCTCTCTCTTCAATATCTGGTTTTGATGGTGCACTTGTAGACTTCTTGTTATGATGGAATCTTAGAATCCATGTACCTTTTGGGGACTCATCCCAGAAGTGCACAGTCATGAAAGCCCAGTCATTCAGTCCAAATGTGTCCTTATCATTGCGGCGAACAGAAAGTAACTGACTTGTCATTTTTCCTGGGGAGGTGAGATCTATGCTGATATCACCACGGAATGCCTTGGATAACCTGAAGCTGACAGTGACCTGTACGTGTTCCAGTTTCTCAATGTCACATGCATCTGTGTTGAGGCTCAGCTCCAGGCTACCTCGTAATGGAATATGTCCATCCTTTATAGGGCCAATTACTGAACAATTCTGCTGTTCCCCTACTGGAATCCAATTCAATGCTGCACTCACCATTTTGGCAGCATTAAGACGACCAAATCCAAACTTGTGATTCACCAACAAACCGGCAGCATTCTTGATCCATCCTTCATCTTTTGGACTGGTCTTCAATGCAGTTTTCACAACAATGTGTTGAAGATCGCGCCACGTCAGATTTCGGTTTGCTTCCAGAACCAAAGCAAAGATACCAGAAGCCAGTGGAGCAGCTGATGAAGTGCCACGGAACCTTGTTGTGCATTTATGCTTAAGATCAGTGGTGACTAGGTCAGCTTCACTAGAGCCACCGCGGTGAGTGTCTCCCGTGTAAGTTACTGCCATAGTAGATGAACACTGCTCATCATAGTAAGTGGACAGACCATATCGACTGACGGCTCCAATAGATATTGTGTAGATACTTGATGTGTAGCCATCTGCATTGCAGTCATCGTCAGCAAGACCTCCATTACCAGTAGCCCAAACAAATACACTTCCTTTCCCTGGGGAGAAATAATAAACAATTTTGGGTATACCAATTGTAGTGACTGGGTATTTGAGATTTCTTCAATGTAACAACGAGGATGTGTACAGCACTTGCCTTTAAATGGCAGCCAACTACATTAACCCTTTACACCCTAACATCAGTATGCATATTCTCCATACTGTTCTCTATACATTTCCTAAGGTGCTGACAAGGAGAATTTGTTAAACGACCAAGAGCATTTTCAGCTAGAGATCTAATCCTTTATTCTCGTAACCTTACTGTTAGATTTAGAGGAGATATCATAGAGAGAAATAAGATGCTCAGTCACTCTTAGTAGTCAGTGAGTTATAACCTGAAGTCACTGTCACACTTAGGACTTTCCCCCTCTAGTCATCAATTTGGGATTGATGCGTTACCCTTGATTGAAAGTGACTCTCACTGATGAAACAGCAAAGAAAGTGAAGTACAAATTTGCTTAAAATAAATCAAAGGCACAAGACAAGTAACCTGGTGCCTAAAATCAGATCACGCTCACGACCACCCCTCCCCCCTCCTCCTGCTCCGCGCAGATTCTTTGTTGCAAGGCTACTGTATTTAATAATATAAAATAGCTTCCTGCAAATTGTGTTTTCTAAACTTCACATTTTCTCAAGAGTGAACCAAACCCACAAACTCCTTAGTTTTTCTTCAGGCATTAGACAGATAGACATAATTGTTTGGAAAGGGAAAGTTAAATTTGTGTTTAGAACCAAAATGTTGTAACCCTATTATCAAATCCCAATTTGTAAAGGATTCATTTACACTCAGCTGTCAAAAGTTAGAAATGTGTTGGCTGAATAAACAATGAGTGCTTTATTAAATACTGTGTTGTTTTACCAGTCACCAAACCGTAGAAGCTTGTAAAACTGAAGCATATCTGCCAGTAAAAGACCTCTGTTTTCAAGGTCCTGACGCTGTTGTGTAAGCTAAATAACTTTTAAAAACATCCGTGTTAAGAAAATTTTTGTTGTGGTTTCAAGTGGTCAGCTAACCTTTACGAAAAAAATATTTTACGGAAAAGAAGGTTAAAGAATTTCCTTCTACGAATATTTCGCCTCGATACTGGTTAGTTAATACAAACACTGTACATTTTCCTCCCAATAATAATGATTCTTAATGATAACCTCTTAATTTTCCCTCGCATTTCCAGGCTAGATCCTTATCGGAATAAAGTCATTCTAAATTTCATTTGTAATGACAAATGAAGACTTCCTTCCTTCTTTCCTTTTGTGGACAATAGAGAAGCTGTGAACAGTTTAAATGCGAGTGGGTGAGCCTACGAAATAACATACGTCAAGAAAACTTTTAAACACCCACGCATACTTAATGAATCTCCGGAATATAACATATGGAATCAGAGCAGAAAGTAAAATATAAATTCTTAATTTTAAGTTAAAAAGAGAGCTGTAGGAAATTTCTGTCTCAGAATACAGCGAAAACTATTCAACCGAAAATTAACAATTCGATATATAAAATCTAGTCTCTGTGATAATCAAAACGAAACCTGGCTCTGAGGTTTAAATATCAATAATTAATGACGATCAATGAACTCAACATTCTGAATACTAAGTCTGGCGCAAGCTATCTAAAGTTGATTTATTTTACAAGGAAAACATGATCTTGATTTTCTCTTTGAAGTAAAGTTTTCTCCCGATCGACGTTGACAAGAACTAATAAATCATCTTTGTGCCTGAAAATTAAGTTTACATGGCCGTTGTCAAATTAGTTTAGCTTACCTCCTCGACCGTACTTAGCGCCATCTTCAAACGATTGCCTTCCCAAAGGTCCTGGCCTTCCAAAGGTCTTTCCGTCGTCTTTCGGTCCCCAACAATTACTGTAAATATCGATGTAGTCACGTCGAAAGCCTAAAGCGGTTGCTTCTAATAAATCTGTTGCTGTACCGTCGAGCATTCGAATGCCGCCAAGATTGACGTTAAAAGCTACTCCGACTCCGCATTCGTTGTTATCTTCTTGAGCACCTACTTCACCAGCACATTTCGTACCGTGCGCGTTGTACGGATCGTTGTCATTCGGAAATGGATCGTCGTCGTCGTCATTTAGGTCTCTACTTGCGTATGGATCATAGTTTCTCTTCAAATCAGGATGTGTGTGATCTAAACCATCGTCGAGAATACTGACAACAACACCTTTGCCTGTTATGCCGCGGCGCCAAACATCGAGTACCCCTATATCAGCTCCGACTAAATGTTCATCAGTTTGACCCCAATTCGCCAAATACCACTGCTTTTCCCATCCAGGATCGTTAAATATTCTCTTGTATCGCAGTTCTCGGTATTTTCTCTCCAATTCTCTTTCTTTTAGGTAACTCTCTGGCAAGAAGTCGCGCTTGTTTCGTTCTAGAACGCGTTGTTGTTCGGCCCATACGATCCTTGGATGATCGTTGAGTTGACGAGTTCTCTCTGTCGCTCGTCGCCTCAAACGAGCGCTTGTTCCTTCGTGCAAGAACCTGAAAACACGGGGCAAGCTGTCAATTCTACCATTGTGTTTCAAATCAAAATTTCTCGCTATTTCGTCAGCAAGGTCGGAGTCGTCCTCGTCCAGTTCGACCGCCCAGATATTTGTGTACAGAGGTCTATCATCTTCTCGGAGGTCACCGAGATGCTCATAATCTTGAAATTCTTCGATTTCATACTGAAAGACGGGTAGAATCAAAACCACTACAAGAAGTAGCGACTTGAAAAGACGTTTTCTAAGAATCATTTGAAAGGATTCACCCACGGAGAAGATTCTCCGTTCCTAACTGTCGCGGTAACCACAATTTTAAAATTTCGGCTTTATATACACACTGCGACCGAAAGGTATCATACAGACCGGCTGTTAATTTTCACAACACCCTCACGCGAAGCCGAAACAGGAAATAACCCTGGGTAGGACAGCCGTAGCCTTTTTCCTTTGCAACAGCAATGCAATGATTTGGTGACAGCTAAAAGCTGTTCTTATTTATTACCTTAATGTTCATTTTTGCTCGGAAAATGCGTCCAAGTTTCTAAATTTATCAAATTGATAGGTAATTTGTGTGACATTAAATTGGTGTATTGCAGTATCCCCTCCCATCGTTAAATTGTATATAGCTACGCTACATTTCATTGGTTGGCTGGGAGGGAAAAATAGTAAAATAGCGCGGAAGATTGATTGACAAAATGCAAATAATCGCTAATCAGCGAGAAAGTTTTATTTCAAGGTGGACAGAAAGACAGCACTTGAATAAATAAATCTGCAATCGTTTGTTTGAAGTTTGAGCCAAAAATAAATAATGGTATGGCCGGCACAGATATTTTAAACTCGTTGGAAAACCTAAACGAGCGCCAAGCACTGTCAATTCCATGTAAGAGGAGAAAGAGGATTATTGTGTACTGTTCTCTTTAAATCTAAAAATATAATTCTTTGGTTCCAGCTGTTGAGAAAATTGCGAAATCATCATCAAAGCGAATCTACTGAAATGGAAGTAATCTTCCACGGGAATTAAAATTTGTTTATTTTCTAGCCCTCATACATATGATTTTAAGAAGGGAAATGGTATAATTTTTCTATTCGAGTAAGAATGCTGACAAAAGTTTTGAAATTTCAGTGAAAAAGAAATCGAAACAACACTATTCGTGAAGTGTTAGAGGCAGCTGTGTGTCGTTTGTGATTGTCACCCAGAAGAAGGCGTTGATGATAAGAAACTTTAGGCGACGTGAGTGTAAGCAATAATTAGAAAAATTAAAACAAAAACTCAGAGAGAAAGGTGCTCTTTTTCAGCCGATATGATTAGAAAGAGCCGTGTATTAAATAGAAAGGAAAGAGCTCTAATGTTTATACGGGACCTGAATTGAAGGCTATTGTGATTAGAAAGTCAGGTTAATTTCAAAAACTTCAATTGCTTTCTTTTTCATGTAAAACAGAAGAAATATGAAACAAAGCAGTACTGTCAACTCACACTAATTTTATTTTCAGATTCATTTCGAGAATCGTCGCACGGTCGTGGAAAAAGAAGAATCGAGTACTGCGATAAAACCGTTATTTCGGATAAGTGAATGAACTTTAGTCTCTCCGCAGGTGCGAGCGAAGATTTTGTTTTTGATGGATAATGGAAGACATGATTGTGTCAGCTGGTGCCCGCTTAAATGGCATGGTTTATGATAATATATTTTTTTCTTGTGGCTGAGTTCGTCGTCGAATCTGATAAAAATCTCAAACCGAACAGGAGTGTGCCACGTAGTTGAAAATATCAAAAAAGGCAGTTTTTAGTGTTGGGCTGTGACTCTTCTCAGTTCCAAGAGGTTATTTCCACCAACATTTGTCGCGGCGAAATGACTGTACCCCTATTTCAGCCACATAAAGTTTCGTGAAAAGAAAACGAGTTTGTCACGTACTCAATTTAAGCTTTTTTCAAGAGGAGTTTATAACGGAATATATATTTACAACAACAGTGAGAAGAAAAATATATTTTGATATCTATTAACTACCTAATTTCACCAGCATCTTTTCTTTCTGTTAATAAAAGCTGTTACAATGCTAGCTTTAAATTAAAGCTTTTTTTAAATTAAAAAAAAAAAAAAAAACGTTTCCTTCCTTTCTATTACATGAGTGAAGTTCCTCCAAGCTTCAACGGATAAATTTAGAGACTGAGATCAGCTTTATAAACCACTGACATATGAGGGAAATGCTGTTTCATCTGCATCCGACTTGGCGCTCGTGTCGTGTACATTTTCAAACAGTAGGTAAAACAGACGGAGAACATTCTTTAGCGAAGAAGGTTAATTTTAATTTTTAGTGGGAACTCGAAAGAACCGAAACATTTTAATTTGGATTAGAACTGGCAAGTAGAAGCATTCTGCAGTAGGTAACATCCTATATGTTTTTGCGACATTTCTGCTTTGTCATGTTAGCTGCCGGGGTCGTGTGTGCATGCATGGTATTTCTGCTGGGGTTGAAAAGGCCGAAAAGCAACAGCATTTACCGTATACAATTTATTCTCTCTTTATCTCAGCGCACACAAAACATTGTGATGCTCTTACAACAGAATAAAAGAATTATGACTTTCAACCAGTCAAGGAGTAAATAACTGCCTTCACAAATAACAACAGAAACAAAAGCTCTGAACCAATAATGAATGAAGACTTTCATTTTATTTTATTAATAAGATTTATCTTAACTTGCAGAAAATTATAAACTGAATACGTCATCCAAAATTGCTTTACCCCGCGTAGCTTCAAGGAAGAAAATATAATTTTTGGTTCGTGTTTGTTATTTTCACGAGTGTTTATTAAATATTTGACGGTATAGCCTTTGAGATTTTTTTAATGCTAAAAAAGGGAAGGCACAAATTTAAAACTATTGAAAGACTCTTGGGACAAGAATAAAATCTGAGTTCCTTTTGAGGATAACCACAGTTTGACCTTCAGATTATCAGTCGAACACTTTCAGTGTCACTAAATACTTTGACTTAAAATGTTCCATCTTAAATACTTTACCAGGTAGAGCTATAAATATTCATTCACTAAGTTTCGAACATTTCTTCTAAAACATAAAAACACGCAGTTTCCTTCATTTTCGTCAACGCACAACATCTTTAAATTAGAAATATTTACAAATTAATCGAATGAAGCCTTACACGACAACATCAAGGATGATCGGCGAAAGCTCGAATTTGTGAAACATTTTACTTTTTACAGCAGTGTAAGGCTTCATTCGATTAATTTGTACATATTTCAGCAATGCTGCTGAAGGACAACGTGAACAGATTATCTTTAAATTAGAATTCCCTTTTCCCCGTAGAAGCTGGTCCCCCCTCACTGCCCAGCCCTAAAACCCTTTGTGAAAAGCTCGTTTCTCTCGATTGTGAAAAATATTTTGTTCCAAATTGAAACTCTGAACAGCTTGATCGCCTGGTGCACTGATATATCGCAATGTCTACGGTAGAGAAGGCAAAAGTTTTCTTTGCATTCACAAATAATAATAAAACTTGCCAAAAATTCAAATGGAAAAGAGAAAACCTCGTCAACCGGGCATTGCCAGAGGAAATGCGGGGGAACATGATTACTTAGCAATACCTGAATGCCCTTTTTTTAAAGACAAGCCTCACCGTAGTAATTGTAAATCTCAAACATCCCAATAATTTGACAATATTTAAATATGACGAAGGGAAAATATCATCTCACGTAAAACCCTGGAAATTTGTTATCGATGAGGCTCTTACTTCACTCCATGAACTAGTGACAATCATTATAATTCGTTGATTTCAATACAATCATACTGAATCCCCGAAGAAGATGAGAAGATAGATTCTTAAAGATTCTTACACCAAATGGGACTGTTCCCCGTATTTTTCTCCCGTTTATAAGTCCTTTATCTCCTTAAAATGATTAACTTACAACTTCTCCATATATTAATGATAGCTAATTTAGTAAAATGGCGACGAGAACAGATGAACTTATCAGATAGTAAGCGTTATCTTGATATACTCGCAAATCCCCTTTGCTAATCTGCAGGAAATGTATAAGCAACCCCGGTCCCAGGTCTGTCTTTAGGAACGCGAAGAAAAAGGAGTCTGGACACAAGTTTAAAGAGTAGTCTACAGTAAATAATTGTTAATCTGTCTTGGGAGACGAAGGCTCAATTCGCCTCGCCTGCAGAACAGGCATCAATTCTTTTCTTTTTTTTTTTTTTCCTTTTTTTTTTTTTTTTTCCTGTTTTTTTTTTTCCTGTTTTTTTTTTTTTTTCTCGAGGAGTCCTCTTACGCGCGACACGCCTTTCGCGTTTCCCACGCGCTTCCTTGTGCTACTTCAACTCCACTGAAAAACAATAAAAAAAACTCACTCCTTCTACAGGCTCTTAATACACCATGACGATCTGCTCTTAGACGCTTTTTACTATGACCCTCTATTATAAGATTCAGGCGGTACCATACATGACAAGAGACCAATTCCTAACGCAGCCAGCTATAGGCCCTTGAAGTGACTTTGAATGTGAACACATTGACGACTCATCAGAAGCCACATTAATGGGTTGGTTTGGTCCTTTCACTGACTTCATATAATCTTCCTTAAACCGTCCATGAATAAGCTCGCGCTGGAAACTGGGCTGGTCTTCGCTCCTCTGAGGAAACTTTTCGTGACGCTTTTCCTTCGATCGCTTTGACAAGCTCATGTAATCTTCCTTGAAGCGACCATGGGAAAGATCATTTGCGATGCTCGGTTCGTCTCTGGATTCTCCTTCGTCAAACAATATACCGTGGCTTCTAGGAGAGTAGTCGTTTTCAGACTGAAAATTAAAAAAAAATAGATATTTATAACATTATTTTTTAGAAAGAGTAAAATCAACAACGAAACAAAGTTTCCGTGACTCGTAGTTTCATGCTTTCGCAATCATCTGACGGAATCATCACCGCCTGATGATTGCGAAAGCATGAAACTACGAGTCACGGAAACTTTTTTTTCGTTGTTGATTTTACTATTTCTATTTACGCTCTACTTTTTGCATTGAGCACTATACAGCCAGCTAAAGCATCTCCTCCAGATAACATTATTTTTTATTTATATTTTATGTGCAACTGAATGTCATTAGAATTGGTTTAGCTTCCATTCGCTTAGCAAAATTGTACCATCCTTCCAAACAATCACATACAGATCTAAAAACCAATTTTGTGGCTCAGTCAAAGGCTTTTTTCCCTCCAAAAATATACCATCGCATTACCTTCTCGTCCCTGATCTTCACAATCCACTCGCCTTGAGGGTCCTCGTCCCAAAATTCAACAGTCATGAAAGGCCAGTATGCTAACCGTGTTCCGTCGTCTCGGGGCCTCTTGGCTAGCAGTCGCGAAGTGGTGCCGCTGGGCGAGATGAGGTCGATCACCAGGTCCCCCCGGCGACGGTGGTCTATTGATACATTAAACTGGACGTGCTCTAGCTTTTGAATGTCTTCCTTGTCATTGACGAGCTATTTGTAATCAGTGATAATGAGATTAAGAATGGTAATAAAAACGACTCGGAATTGATCAAATCTATAAATTTATTAATTTACTGAGTGATTAGACAACACTTTTACCTTCAGTTCCACCTCTCCCTTAGATCGTAACGTTGCTGTATCAGGTGTCAAAAGTCCACGAAGTGTATACTTCTGCTGAGTATCAACATGTTCCCATTCCTTCGCTGCATTTATTAAATCTTCCGCATTTAATACACCAAATCCATAAGAACGACTGTATTTATGCCCGGCTCCGTTCTGCAAGACAACAAAGGACAGGAAGAGAAAAGAGTCTGAGGTATAACTACTAAGAATACCAAATAACAAGAACGGACTCACTCATCGGAGGGAAACGGAAAACTATCATGTTTCAATCTCGTTCGAGTCTTACTTACTGAGACGTTGGCTTAGGACGCAACAGGGATGTATTTAAGAGGGGGGAGGGGTCATTGCATGTTTGCTGTCTGGTCCATGTTTGACAAAAAAGTGACAAGTAATACAAGCAAAATGTCACGACCCTTAATGACAGTGAGATATTTATTACGGGTCCCCTCACGGGAAAATCCTGTCACAGTCTTTCTGAGTTGGTGTTGGTTAAGAAACGAATCAAACGGGGGAAAAAGGGCCCACCCTTCGTGTCTCAAGATACCGGATGTACCACGAATACTACCCACAAACAACGGCTGTGGCTCTTTTGTCGGTAGGTTAAAACAGCCGTAAAGACATTTGTAAAAATCCACGGAGCCGTGAGAGAACTTGGAAGAAAAACAACTGGTGAAAGAGCAAATACTGCGTGAATTTCTTGGAGAAAAATTTGGGATGGTCAATTGAAACCCTTTGTTCCAAGGCCAAAGATGATTTACCGTGCTCCACGAAGGGCTGTCAGGCTCATTTTTGCGCGCGGTTTTAACAACCAAGTGCTGCATATCTCGCCAAGTAAGGTCAGGATTTGCCTCCAAAACCAGCGCAAAGATTCCAGCTGCCAAGGGAGCCGCACAGGATGTTCCAGAAAACGATGTCACACACTTGTGAAACAGAGAAGTTGTTACAAGATGGCTGTAGGACTCTCGCTTACTGCACTGCGAGCCAACATCCCCGGTGAAGACCACGCCCATTGTAGAAGGGCAGCTCTCGTCGTAAAACGTTTTGCATCCATTGGCGCTCACAGAGGCGATAGACAGAGTATAGATACTTGACGTATAACCGTCGCAGCTACAATCATCCTGGCTGGCTCCACCATTGCCAGTGGCCCAGATATACAAAACTCCCTTTCCTTGAAAAAAAAAAATATATAATTTTTTTGAAAGTTTTTTATTTGCCAAGAGATTATAAACTGTTTTCAATCTCTTGTTTCTGCATATTAAGAGATAAAGTGGCTAAGAGATCAGTGCACCGGTCCCCGGATGTAAAGGTCCTGGGGGGCCGCTTCTCGAAAGTCCCGGTAACTTAACGGGCCCGTAAAGCTGTTCTGTATTCATTCAAGATTGTGGTTTCGAAAGGTTTTCAACATTATAAAGTGAAATCCTCAGCTAAAGAAACATATTAAATTAGACTGGTTAGGGTGCCAGTGACTACTTCTCCATCCTTTAAATTTTGCTTATGAGGGCTTCAGACCCATTAAGTTACCGGCACTTTCGACACACGAGCCCCAGGTAAGAGATCTGGTTTGGCTCATTTTCTTTTTCTCTCGGACGAGACACTTTATTCGCACATTGCCTCTGTCCAACGCATTCAGCCGACCTGATCACCTATATCATCCGATTGCAACTTGACATAACAGTTCCTGAGGTAACGCGTATCCAGAAGAACTTATCGCCTGAACAGTGGAGAAGACTCACAATTTGTAGTGCAGTCGAAACATCACGATCCTTCTCGGAAGGGAGACAAACTATAACACTTCATAGAAAGTTATTGGCCAAGATGACTAGCAACCAAAATTATTTTGCTTTATAAACAATAATCTCCATTTGGAGCGAAATCATGCACGGATATTTGTCCGAGGACATTATCTGTTCCGAGATGAGAACGAGTTTCCGAGGGGAAGCTCAAGGAAAACTGTGAGCTATGAAACTGCGGCGTACTGCTTTTATAAAATATAAACCAAATGCAACTAACGATAGGGTTTTTGACCAATCAGGGTTCTCGTAGTATCTTAGTTATTTTATAAAAAAACTTATGTTAAGGATAATTTCACACGTTACTTTTATAATAATTTTCATGCTTAGAACAAATTAAGAATAAATATTAGCGAGAAAAAAACACAACGTTTCGATGACTCCATGTCATCATTCTTAAGTGAGAATAGACTAAAAATGAATAGTTAATTTATACCGTACGAAGGTGACAAACGCAAAAAGTTTAAAATTTTTTAAAAATCTAAATAAATAATTGCGCGTATTGAGTTCATAAATGTAAACTATGAAATAAATAGTTTCGCGCGTATGGAATTCGATTGTTTGTTCAAAGAGGGCTTCGTCTTCTTTATGAAAAGCATTTCATGAACTAAACAGTCCAGTTTCCCGGTGCACTTTTTAAGTACGTTGAAATGCTTGGTCAGGTCGCCGATGGTTTGTAGGCCGTGGTCGTTCTTTAAATGTTTGCCGAATTACGGTGCTCATCAATACGTTGATGTAAATGCCGGCTGGTGTACCCGACGTACTCTGCATCGCACAGATCACATTTATAATTATATACAACGCATTGTTGGCTAACTATAGGAGGTTTAGGCTCACGCATTCTGAGATCTTCACAGATTTTGCAACTCTTGAACACGGGTTGAAGGGTGTGATCGATTTTGTTGCTTAGATCTGATAATTGCCTTCTTAGAACGAATTAGGCTTGATTCCCGCCGCTCTCTCGGGTCCGGTCTTTTTCGTTCCTCCCCGAGAAGAGGGGAGGAGCGCGGGCTCCGGTCCCCGAACAGCGGCTTGTAATCGAGCCTAAGGACAAATGCATACAAATGTAACTGCTTGCCTTAAAGGTATATGGTCAAGGAGGTAGTATTACAAAAAATGTTTTTCTTTTTTTGATCTCATCCTTTAAATGCACTCAAACGTAAAGCCTATCACACAAACTAGTTCGAAAGCTCAAGCAAACTGTCCCGTACTTAACGACATTATCACAATAGTGAACGCCTACGGGGTTTGAAGTCCCCGCGTTTTTTGAAGGGAAGACCAAAAAATGGATGAATTATTTTTACTGAAAATAAAAGCATTTCTACCTTAAAATCGACTCTTGTTGATCGTTAGAAGCAGAGAAATAAATTTTAGCATTATTTACTGACGACATTCATTTTACATTTCAGGACAAATGCATTTAAGACTAGGATAAAATTACTGGCTAAAATTAAATCCGTAAATCTACTGGCTAAAATAAATTCGAGTAAAGAAAAAATTGCAAGAGAGCATTTTTTCGGGTTCCGTGAATATTTTCCATTCCACATCAGCCTGGGTAATTTTCTCTTATATTCTGCTACCTTGTACAGCAATTTGTGAGTCGGATAAAATTGCGACTAACGAAATTTACATTTTTTTGGAAAAAGGTATCAGTTTTAGCGTTGTTCTGGGCTTGAAACATCTTCAGGAAGAATGCATAGTCATTAGGTGTAAAAAGAACTTTTTAAATTCATATTTTCGTCTCGAATTTTTCACGCAGCAGAAAACTAAATTTTCCTTTCGTTCCAAGAAAAATTTCCTCCGAACTCATTTCAAGAAGGTTTGAAAATAATTAAATATGCTTTTCGTTGTAAGAGATGATCGTCAAACCCCCTAAAGCAACAACAATTCAGAGCCTTAAAAAGTTTCGTGGTTACGTAATTTCACATCGCCGGTTAGGTATGAAATTGTATTTTCCCTGTGCTAAAACTTTTTCACACAGGAAAAAGCAAATATTTCTTGACCGTCATTGATTTTGTTGTCTCGTGACAAAAACAGTCTTTGTCAGTCAGTGAATTAAGTATCTGAAAGGACTTACATACATGAAACTCATTTTTAAATTAAATATCGCGATAAAACTCCAAAATATGATCATAAACAAAACAGCTCTGGTCCTTTCGTAGAAAAACATAAAGCGTGCTCGTTTAAGTTGTTAGTATAGCATAAAACGTGTCAAAAGCTTAGAGAAAAATACAGAGTGGATCACAAACAGGAAAATTAAGCAACCGCGTTCGTGTGTCTTAGCTTTTCAAATTAAAACTTCAATTACACCACCTGTCATCTGTTGGTTTGAACTTACAAAAAATTCGTCTGTCGTTTTAGAAGCATTTTGTATGAAAAACTACCCATTAATCGTCTAACAATCTTTGCTAAATTTAAATAAGGTTTCTCCCTTACTTCATGAACTTTTATTTAGCACTTTCCCTACAATTCGTTTGTTATTTGTTGCCAAGTTATTACTGTCGAAATTTTGAACTGATAAAATACAGCCTTTCACTATTTTTTTTTCTTTTTTTCATTTTACGTGTAGAAATCGAAAAATTAAAAACAGTTTATACGGAAATTTAGATTGGCCAGTTAACTACATTGTTTCTAGAAGTCACCATTGTCGTGACAACTCAAGGTCACCGTTTTGAACAATACTAACTTACCTATACACATGTTAGTGTTTGCCATCGAAGTGCCTGAAATAATCACTCACCCGGTCCATCACTTAAATTCAACTTGCGAGCAAACCCGCGTATCTAATTAAACGCCATCTGTTTCATGGCTTTGAGAAAACACATCAAAGAATTAAAACACTCGTAGAAAAGGTAAAGGAATAGTTTCATAATTATTAATCTTGACATAAACTAACAAATTGAAAGAAAAAAAATAGGAAGTGTATACTAACCATCTCTGCCTTCTCGAACACATTTCTCCATGGCGCCACTACCGAGTCTCTCGGGTTTGCCGAATGTTTTCCCGTCATCTTTAGGTCCCCAAGATGCGCTGAAAATGTCGATATAATCGCAGTTGTATCCCAGGGCTTCTGCCTCAATTTGGTCCGTAATAGTTCCGTCGAGCATCCGTATACCGCCAATTTTTGCGTTGTACGCAACTCCTACACCACAAATATTATTATCGGCCTCGGCGGCGACTTCTCCAGCGCATTTCGTTCCGTGATCGTTGGAAAGGTTGGTATCATCTGGCGTTGGATCATGATCAACTCCAACACTAGTTTTATTGTTTACGTCTAAGCTTGCAGCCTCGTCGTAATTTTTACTCAAGTCCGGGTGAGTGTGATCCAACCCGTCGTCAACAATAGTCACCACAATTCCTTTACCCGTGTATCCCATTTTCCAAGCTTGCAAGACACCAAGGTTTCCTCTGGTATCAGCAAAGTCTAAAGTACCCATATACCATTGATTTTTCCACAGCGGGTCGTTAAATAATCTGCGATTTCTCTGCGCACGTTCGACTAGCATTAGCGCTTCGTCCCAAGTGTTAAAACCGCGTTTCTGTCTGATAAGTACTGTTTGTTGTTCAGCCCACTTCACGCGCGGGTGATCTAGAAGTTGTGTATGACTGCTTCGTCTCTGACGTCTCTCCGATTTTTCGTGAACAAACGCAAAATATCCAGGTAAGTTTGCTATTGGTCCGTTGTTCTTAAATCCAAGATTTTCTGCTATGTTGTGCGCTAATTCTTCATCGTGCGAGTCAAGTTCAACTGCCCAAGTATTAGTGTATATTTCGCCATCTCCATGATCACTCTCGCAATATACAACGCTCAAACTCACTAGAAACACAAACAGTACCACATTCACCATGGTACAGTAGTGTTTTCTACCGCTCCGTAACGATTGTCAATCTTCTTGGAAGGACTGAACGCTTAAGAAGCGATGGGTAACTTATTCCAAAAGGCAGTGGAGTATTAATAACTATGCAAAATGTTTAAAAATGATTGAATGCTCATTTGCAAGGCTAAATCAACCGCCATCCAATCAACCATGATGCACGTCAAAAAGGTAACATGAACTTGTGGACCTTGTCGAGTGACGTAGGGAGAAACAGGAAATTTTAAAGTAAATGTTGTTCTTTCTCACTTTCCATGCCTCGAGTGCTGTTGGTAAGTCTTCGCTGAAATATCCATGGGAAAGAAGATTGCTAATATATTCTGTGGACACTTTCGTAGCCCCTAAGGGAAAACAAATAAATAGATTCTCTTCGCAAACGGTTTGTTTAAGAACCTGCCCACTTACGAGTTGATAAGGGAGGGAATATGTTTTCATCTATCATAGATTTTAGAGACCCATTTTCACCGATACCTTATTCCATACACAGTTTGGTGAATCTAAAGCTCTCAGGTCATGTGTGAAAGAAAACATAGAAATTTCTGTCATCAGTGTGCAAGCTTTCTTTTCAACTTTACGATCTGAGCCGGTGAAATGTTTTCGCACCTTCCTGTGCGCTCTATCAATAAACATTTTAACTTCCCCCGACTAGTCTTTCCTCTACTTAACCTCAACAAGTTAAACAGGTGTTCTACTGGTTATTAACACGAAAATGGCTTCGAAGGACTTTTCTTCCCTCATGTTAGGTTATATGCGCATCTGAATCAAACCACGATTAGAGTTTCATAATCTTTTCTTGGAATTCTGTATTCTAGTAGAAGATGAAATGCTTATCAGATAAGGGGATAGAATTACGATCCCTTTTATCCTCCCTGGCTGTCACGACTTGAGAACTAAAAAGGTTTTGTAATCAAAATTCATGAATCTATTAAGTGAACATAGAAAAGCCATTCCCTTTCCTTCCCGAAATGTTTGTTTAATAATGTCATTCCTCTATGTCTTTTAGGAGAGGATCTTTTAAAATTTGTGAAGCATTGCTCTTAATTCCGGCACGCGAATCTATGTGATGCGTACTTTGGACTACTTTACAAAAATGAAGCCAGTGGCAAAAATAAGTGATGCAAAGCTTCCTTCAGGGAGACTATTCACTTTATACTCGCGTATGGGAAGGTATTTTTTAAAACTAAAATCTGGATCATTAAAACAGTGGAGCGAACACAGGAAGTGTCAATTAAAGAACATTTGATAACCGGCAAAGTCGAACTTTTTTTAAAGACGTTTCCAGTTGTTCTCTTAGCAGATGCTTTTTCAATTCCGTTCATTTGTCGCAGAAAAACAATAACTGATTACCAAATTGGTTGGTTTGAAGAGTTGTGTATTTGGTCTTTGACGCAGCCGCCTACGGAAAATGTTCGATCAACCCAAACGTCTTTTGGAAGGAGAGGTTTTCAATTTCAAGAAAAATTACTCCGAGTTTGGAGATGGCGGAAAAAGACATCACGCCCACACTGCCAGCTGATCGATCTCGCGCAGATTAGTCCGACCTGAGAGCCCCTATCAACTTATAAAACCACGAGGGTTTTCATTTTTCAAAAGTTGAATTTTCAAAACCAAATCAAGACCAGACACGGTCCTCGTAAAATATCCACAACTTGAGTTTACAGAATATTTTCGGCTAAGTCGAACACCTTTAGCACTAAACACCTCAGCTGGCCTTGTGGGTTCATATCCATGTTTCGCTTAAGGGTGCTTAAAAAAAAAATTGCCTCGACGTATTGTTTTAATTCAGGTAATTTCTTTTCGAAAAGGTAACCCCAATTCAGACGCGAGAAGGTCTAAAGTGACCATAAAAATCCCAAAAAGAAATTTCGGATCAGAAAATAGGCTGATAAAATGTTTCTTTTTGACCAGTTTAATAAGGTTTGTCGCTAAATCTAACTTACCTGAGAAGCTGTCCGTGTATGAACCGACCCACACGAGTTTTAGCCCATCACAGAATTCTTTTAAAACTTTCCATGTGAAATAATGAAGCATTGCTCTTAATTCACGCGAATCTATGTGATGCGTACTTTGGACTACTTTACAAAAATAAGTGATGCAAAGCTTCCTTCGGGGAGACTATTCACTTTATACTCGCGTATGGGAAGGTATTTTTAAAACTAAAATCTGGATCATTAAACCAGTGGAGCGAACACAGGAAATGTCAATTAAAGAACACTTAAAGTGCACCTAAACCCAAAATTTTTTTTTTCACTTAACGAAACAAGCATATTTTTTTGAGTATTTCTGTGCAAACATTTTTTTATTTGCTCAAATCCTCAATTGTCTGTGCCCAGTCAAAATACGGAAAATCGGCCGCCATCTTGCCCCACGGCCGAGTTTAAAGAGGAATGGCTCTAGCGGGTAATGTGACGTCAAATCGAGAAC